TTATTAAAGAAGAACTAACGACGCTTGGTTTCAATGTACGCCAGGTAACAAACGTTTTGAAGGAGGACAGGGAACAGCCAGGATTACGAAATAGGATCCCACTACCATTGTTTTTCGTGGACTTGGAGCCATCACCAGGTATCGAAAAAATATATGATATCACAAGAATATACTATACAATGGTGAAAGTTGAGAAGCCATATCCCAAGAGAGACATCGTGCAGTGCCATAATTGTCAGACCTATGGCCACACGAAGACATATTGCCACCATCTGCCGCGTTGCGTGAAGTGCGGTGAACAGCACAAATCTGTAGAGTGCACCAAACCTATACAAGATCCAGCAGTATGTGCCCTATGCTTGGAGGGACACCCGGCCAACTACAAAGGCTGCCAAATTTACAAGAATCTCAAAACCAGACACCAGAAAAACCGGATTCAAGATGAAGCACTAAGAACAAGAAGAGAGAGAGAGCCTTCCAGAATTGTAAACAATGATGTATCATTCTCCCAACTACTTAGAGGTAAGACTTTAACCGATAAATGTCAAGCCCTGCCACAACAACAACCTCAAACCCAACCTCAAAATCCTCTTCATCCTAATATACCTAACCACCAACAACAAATTCCTCATATTCCTCCTCCTTCAAATGCAACAGATCTCACAAGTTTGTTAGCATCTTTCCTCACCGATTTCAAATCCCTTGTTACTCCACTCATATCACTCCTCACGAATCTCGTATCTCACCTCATCCCTCCTTTGAAAAATCCTTAAATGACTCACATCCCTAAACCCATATCCATTCTCCTTTGGAATGCGAATGGTGTTAGAAATCATACAGACGAACTATCTACTTTACTACTTGACAAGAACATTGATGTGGCACTAATTACTGAAACTCGACTAACCACTAAACAGCACTTCAATATACCACAATACCTGACATATCGTACTGACCACCCTGACGGAAAAGCACATGCCGGTACTGCTGTAATTGTACACCAATCCCTCTCCCATCACCTACTCCCATTACCAATACATGATTTCCTACAGTCCACCGCTATCGTGATAAAAACCTTCTCCTTTCCGGTCACTCTTGCATCAGCGTATTGCCCTCCTAACCGATCCATATCCAATGCCCAATTCAGTTCTCTCCTCGACTCCTTAGGACATCACTTCATCTTGGGTGCAGACCTAAATGCCAAGCACCAACAATGGGGTTCCAGAACCACGAATTCTCGTGGCCGAACCCTGCTGTCTGCACTCAATTCCCAACGTTTTCACCTCCTTTCCCCCAACTCTCCTACCTACTGGCCCACAGATCCCAACCGTAATCCTGATCTTCTAGATTTCTTTATCCACAGCGGCTTAAGTCCCCTCAATTGTTCCATTACACGTCTAAATGAACTTTCCTCTGACCATAGTCCTCTAATCCTTAATGTTTCACTTGAACCTGTTCCCAAACCTTCTCCACCGTCATTCATTAGGGGCCCAGTAAACTGGGACCTTTTCCGCCAAATAATCTCCGATAATATTGATCTCAACATATCCCTCAAAACTCCCGATGACCTTGATAGTGCCGTAAATTCCTTTACTACCACAATCCAACAAGCCGCCTGGACTGCCTCCTTTCCAAAAGACTCCTCCAGAATTCCTATAAAGACCATTCTACCCCAACACCTCCTTAACCTAATCCGCACCAAACGCCGTGCCAGATTATTATGGCAACGATCCCGACATCCTACCGACCGCTGCTCCTATAATTACTACTGCAAACAATTAAAACTGGAATTAGCCACCTTCAGATCACAATCCTTCAACTCCTACCTATCCTCCCTCTCTTCTCGCGACAATTCCCTTTGGAAAACCACAACAAAAATCCTAAATCCTCACCGCATTTCCCATCCTCTCCGACGAGGTGATGGCTCCTGGGCAGCATCTGACGAAGATAAAGCTGAGGAGTTCGCCATTCACCTATCCAATACATTTATTTCACATCCGGAATCCCATCCTGCCCACACCGTAACAGTAGAAGAACTCCTTACATCACCAATCCCACTTTCCTTGCCCCCAAAAGCTATTCATCCTTCCGAAGTAAAATTTCAATTAAAAAAACTAATCCTCCGTAAAGCTCCTGGACATGATCTCCTTACACCTCAAATCCTTCGACAACTTCCATCCAAAGCAGTCATATTCCTTACATATATCTACAATTGTATCCTACGCACCACCCACTTCCCTCTGTTATGGAAACACTCCACTATTATCCTTTTCCCAAAACCAGGAAAACCTCTCAATAGCTCAACATCCTATAGACCAATCAGCCTACTCCCAATCCTTTCAAAAATTTTTGAAAAGATCCTTTTGAAACGAATCCTACCCATTATAGAATCCCAAAATATCCCTTCCCATCAGTTTGGTTTTCGCTCTCAACATTCTACTGTTCAACAAGGACTCCGAGTCGTTGATCATATTTCCTCAGCCCTAGAAAACAAGGAATACTGTTCGGGTGCCTTTCTGGACATTGCACAGGCATTTGACCGGGTATGGCACTCCGGACTGCTCTCCAAGCTTAAAATCCATTTACCTCAGTCCTTGTACCTAGTCCTCCGATCCTACCTCTCTGACCGCTCCTTTCGAGTTCGCTGTGGAACAGAATTTTCCAATATCTACTCCGTTAAAGCCGGTGTTCCCCAAGGCAGCGTCTTGGGTCCCGTGCTTTACATCCTCTTTACTGCTGACATCCCTGTTCATCCCGATACTTTTCTTGCAACATTCGCTGACGACACCGCAATCTTATCATCCAACTCTGATCCCGAAATAGCATCCTTAAATCTCCAAAGTCATCTCACCTTGATTGAGCACTGGTGTAATAACTGGCGCATTAAAGTTAATGAATCTAAATGCCAACACATTACTTTTACACTCCGACGCAATTCCTGTCCACCAGTACTCTTTAATTCCATCCAGCTTCCTTATTCAGACACAGTCCGGTATCTTGGCTTTCATTTAGACCGAAGACTAACTTGGAACCCGCATACTAGACTCAAAAGACAAGAACTCAACCGACGATACGGCCAACTATACCGACTACTAAGCAGAAAATCTAAACTTTCCATTGAAAACAAGCTACTGATCTACAAGACAATACTGAAACCTATTTGGACTTACGGACTAGAACTGTGGGGATCAGCAAAATTTTCTAACATCAAGCGCATCCAATCCTTCCAGTCTAAAGTCCTTCGAACAATAGTCGATGCTCCTTTCTATGTATCCAACAAAACCCTACATCATGACCTTAACATCCCATTTGTCCTAGACCTTATCCCAGAAAAGTTCTCCAAATTTCACCAGAACCTTACTTACCACCCAAATCCTCTTGCACAATCCCTATCAAGCATCTCCCATCCCTATAATCCTCCAAGAAGGTTGAAACGGCAGTGGCCTCGCGACCTTTTGTAAATTATATAAATTGGAGTTCTGGCAATGGCCAGATTCTTCACTCAAGACATGTGTGTATGTGGCTAAAGTGCTCTCGACCAATCTCCGCTGGCTTTAGTACCAGTGACGCGGTTGGAAGAGTAGCGCAGGGTTCTCCTGGAGTTCCCTCGCCTGATTGTATATAGGTATGCATGTTATTTTTTTTTTTTTTTCCTTAGTTTTAATTTTCTTATTTTTTAGGTTATTTTATTTTATTGTCTATTGTATATACTTTTGATTATTATTTTGTTCTATTTATTTTATTTTTTTGTACATATGGTGTGAATGTCATCCTACCTCACTATAACCAATGTCGAACAGACAGATTGTTATAATACTCAATAAAGAAATTAAAAAAAAAAAAAAAAAAAAAAATTCAATTTACAAGATTAAATTACTCTTAAATTCCAGAAGCAGGTGGACGCAGCTGGAATCTGTTTAAATATTTGATAAGGATTCTAGTATTAATCAAAAAATAGATGTAAACAAATAAAAGAACTGCGGTCAGATGCGATAAAAAGGTCTGGACCAACAAAATATATGTTTTCTATTTATTTAACTATTTATAGCTGTTTACAAATAATTTACCATTGTGTAACAATTTGCAGCGTTTTTCCGTTAAGTAACATGTCTATTTGTCAAAAGTAAAATATTTTCATTACTTTAATAAGAATTGAATTACATCTACATTTAAATTTATCTATATAACATATTTCAACGAAAAGAATCTGAAAAAAAGTTACGAGGGATGGTAAAATTAGATTCCGAATAATTCAAAAAGTTGATATTTGTTGTTTTTGTATTGTTGATATTGGTATATTCGTTGATATTTTAATAAAATGTTTCAAAAGTATTTAAATTTCCTAAAAAATGAAGAAAGTTATATCGAAATCAAAGCACGATTAGTGAAGATATCGCGATTTTTAAATATTTTTGGTATATTATTTTCAATAATGAACTATTGTGATAGAACAAAAAATTCAAAACTTAACCTCCTCTCAAAATTTGAGGTTTTACGTTTCAGAAGACGTAGAATTTGAAAAACGAATACAATTGTTTTTGTCCGTCCGCCGTCCGCGCATTTTCTCCGAAACTACTAGACCAATTTTTTTTTTTTTTTAATTTGGATTTAAAATTAGAAGTCATCTGAGGATGATCCTCTTTCATCGATATTTCTATCCGCCTTTTCCTTTCAAGATGGCAACCGAAAAACCTGCGTTGCTATAGACTGTAGCGCCTAAACGAATGTACCGATTTCAATTAAAATTCGCTAAAATCTTCTTCTCCATGCCATTTAAATATATTAATATAAAATACTTCAACTAAAAGAAACTGGTAAAAAAGTTTCGGGGGATGGTAAAATTATATTCCGGATAACTCAAATAGTGTACACTTTTTTGTTGATATTGTGATAAAATGTTTCAAAGTTATTTAATTTTCCAAAAAACTGAAGAAAGTTCCATCGAAATCAAAGCATTATTAGTACAGATATCGCGATTTTTTTTTTTTATGATATCTACTTTGAGGAAAAATCTAACCAGAGAGCAAGTGGAAACTAGGAAATAGATCAGAGCAAGTGTTATTCTGTTTTGGCTTGCACTGTTTATAAAAAGAGAAAAACAATTAATTTCTTTGTAGATGGAAGGTTAAGCCTCTCTCTATGTAAATATATTGTAGAAATATGTAGTTTAAAAATTAAAAGTATAAAGGTCGAAATATATGGTCTTTATTCCCAATTTCTTCGGTGATTAAGTTTTTTACAAACTCAATCTCATTTCGTTGTTTTATTCCTATCGGTGTTTAGTTTAAAAATCTTCAAAATCTTTAGTATAGTGATCTTTTGATGATATTTCCAATGATACTTCTTTGTATTTATCGAAGTTACTCGTATCGGAAGCTCCTGTGACGACGGGGACATACGGAGGTTGCACCTTATAGTTAACTAGTGACAACCAGTTCATATCTTTATAAAATGGATGTTCCTTTATATCGTTCGATCCATTCTTCAGGTTACCGTAACGCTTCGACAGATCCACCTGAAGAAGGTTGCTGATTAGATCTGCCAAATCTGAAGAAAAGTGCTTAGGCATGCTGTACTTTCCGCTGACCACTTTCTCATAAATTTTCATCGGTTCTCTTGCATGGAATGGAGCCATCCCTGAAGCCATTTCGTACATGAGGACGCCAAAGGTCCACCAGTCCACCGACATGCCGTAACCTTTATTCAGGATGATCTCTGGTGCCAGGTACTCCGGTGTACCACACAACGTGTATGTCCTTCCTTGTATTATTTTGCAGAAACCGAAATCGGTCAGTTTCAGATATCCTGTTTGATCTATGAGTATGTTTTCAGGCTTGAGATCTCTGAAGATCAAGTTGCAGTAATGGAGGTACTCGAATGTGAGTAAGATCTGCGCGGCGTAGAACCTCACCAATGGTTCGTCGAATTTCCTCAACTTTCTGAGCAGATTGAACATCTCTCCTCCGACGATGAACGGCAAAGCAAAGTATAAGTAACTGTTGTCCATGAAGGCGTAATTTAAGTAGACACAGAAGGGAAAATTAATCGCTTGAAGAATTTTCTTTTCGTTTAGTGCGTGCTTAACCTGCTTCGTCTTAACTATGATCGATTTGTCGAGTACCTTAATAGCATAATATTCTCCGGTACTTATCATTCTTACCAAGAAGACGCGACCGAAAGCGCCCCTTCCAACTGTACGAATAAATTCGAAATCTTCCTTACCATATTCCTTATCGATCTTCATTTCGAACAAGGTATCGAATTCCGGTTTGGCATCTTTCAAGAATTCTTCCCAATTGCCCATTGGTAATAAAGACCTTCTTTTGGCTTTGGCCATCTTTAGATTTAATCAATTATTTTAGTATAATTTAGAATAATTTTTAAATTAGTCAAATTTAGTACCTATCTCTATATTATAAAATATTATTTTAAAGACATATGAAAAATTTACATATGTATCACTGTACTAATCTAAAAAAAATTATAATAAAAAATGTACCAACAAATATAAATAGCCTGAGTACTTATAATACGGTAATGAAGATCCCTTTTCTGGCTCATAGGAGCGATGAATTTTGACGAAAAAGAAACAATTTAAATGAAAATTTAATACAGAATAACGATTCCAAATTTCGATCCTCAAATTTCTTCAACTTTATAAGAAGCCATTGAAAAAATTGAGAAGTTTTGGAACTCAAATGATTTCAAAAGTAAACGGATAGAGGGAATAAATTTTGCATAAAAAATTTCGACTAAGACATTAATTTATTCGGTATTTTACTATACAAGTATTTCGACATTTAACCACAAAAATTTACCGTTTATGAAAAAAATCGTAATAGTTGCAAATGTATATCCAGCTGTTTATCAGTTTGTTTCTGTGCTCTTATTAACTAAATGCGTATCTTATATTAATTAAGGCAATTTCAATTTGTAATAATAAATCTTTTGATTCTCTACAAATTTTTGTTGTGGCCTTTCTTTATTTTAGATATTTCAGATATTCATCACTCCATCTCAGTTTTTCAGGGATCTTCGCTCTCTCCAACTCTTTCCTCGACCTTCCTGATTCACAATATCACTTCTATGCTTGACGATCTCCAAATATACCTTTCCGTTCATCCTACCGAGATGCTTGAGGTGATCCAAAGGGTTCAAGAAGACATTGATAGTATCAATACTTGGGTAGTTTGCAGCGACGTAAAGCTAAATGCTGAGAAGACCAAAGCCATTCTCATTGGTTCCAAGCATCTGATTAATTCCATTCCTTATTATCCAATACTCTACCTCAATGGCCTACCTATCCGTTTCCACACTCCACACTTCCTAAGATTCCGTGATTCCATGCTCCTTAAAATTTGTCAGCTCCTAGTTTCCTCTCTCATTTTCCCTCATTTCGATTATGGCTGCCTCGTATACGGTGGACTGTCTGGTGGACTTGAGACCAGATTAAAGAGGCTAATGAATTGTTTCATTTGATTTATTTTTGGAGTTTTACGGTGCTCCCACGTCTGCAGTTGGTATGTCGAGTTGAAATGATTCTTTCCAGTCTTCCGACGACAATAGTTCTTAGATGTAGACAATAGTTCTTTTTGGAACCTTTTCGACAAAAAAATCCTCTTACCTTCTCGATTTGTTTACTCCTTGTTCCTCTATCCATTCGTTCAACAAGAGATCCCAGCTCTCGAACCTGTTAATTCCTTCTCATAGAACTGTACTCTTGTTGTGCTATCTTATTATGGAATTCCCTACCAACCTCCGTACTCAACTCCTCATCCTTGAGCTCATTTAAACATAATTTATTTATCCATCTTAGCCATCGATCTTCCGAATATGTATAAAATAATTTTCATGTTTTTCAGACCTGTCAGTTACATTTAATGTTATCCCACAGATAATTATATATCATCTACATTATTAATGTGTACAAATATGTAAACTTTCACATGTTCATATGTTTACCAGTGCCTTTTCTTTATTTTAATTTTTAATTTTAGATATAGATAACCTTGCAATTTAATTTGTTCCTAATTATTTCTAATGCCAGACAATTGTCATTAAATTGTACATTGTAGTTATTCTAAGGGGACTTATTCCCAGAAGAGAATTTATTTTTCTTCTTCTTCTTCTATAAATCTTTTGCTCTGTCATTTTTCGAACGGGCACGTTTCCGAACTAAAGCGCATTACGCTCTCTAATAGGGCCTCATATATATATATATATATATATATAATATATATATATATATATATATATATATATATATATATTATATATATATATATATATATATATATATATATATATATATATATATATATATATATATATATATATATATATATATATATATATATATATATATAAGATTTCTTTTCTTTTTAGTATAAATGTTTTCACTCCAGAACACTGAATTGAGCTTTTGCCAACTTGTCACTCGTTTTTCAATATCCATCCTCGCTTGCATTAAAGAATTGAGCCAAGGTAGCAAAATCTTTGTAACCTATAAAACGTTGTAAAAACGGGGCCACTCAATTCATAGCCTTCTGTCATCATATATTTTGTTTTACCATAATTTATATTCAGGCCCCATTGTCCATACCGATGTCTTTACATAAACCCAATATCAAATTCATCCTGCGCTATTATTACCGGGACATCCGCGAATAGCGGGTGACATAAATATCTTTCATTCATTAGAATGCCCATGTTGGCACATTTATGTATCTAATTATTCAATTAATTATCTATAAATATATTTTAAATAAGTTAGGAAACATGCAGCATCCTTAAAGAAGGCCTTTACTATTTCTAAATTTTTCTGATAAGTAGCAGCCAATTTTTAGTTTAAATTTATTATATATATATATATATATATATATATATATATATATATATATATATATATATATATATATTATATATATATATATATATATATATATGGAAGGGAAGGATGGCTGGGGTGTTCAATCAAATTGAAATGGTAAAAAATAAATAATTTTAGTGTACAGTAGGTTTGTTTATTTTTATTATTTTATTCTCTTTTTCTTTGGTCTTCCCGTCAATCTATTTTCCATATATCAATTTCTATTTTCCATATCTCAATCTCTATTTTCTATATATGATACATTTCCTCATAACTTTATTTTCACATTATATTTTTAATAGATTTTACAATATCTTAATGTTCTATTTATATCTATTATTTTCTTATATAATTTCATATTTCTTTTCTCTTTTTTATACTTTATTCTATATTACGATCTTCTTCTCTTATGTTACGTTATATTTTATTATGCTTATTTCATTGCTCCGTGCTTTGTTACAGTTATTATTATTTTTTCTTAGTTCTCTGTTACTGCTATCATTCTATCTATTTTGTTTTACTTTAACGTTCATTATATCTACTCCATTTTACGTTAAGTTCTACTAAAAAATTTTAGTCTTTACCTATCACCCTTTTTTTAATCTTGATTCTGTATTTTTCAATGTCTATTCTTTGTTATTATACCTATTGTTATCTAGTTTTTTTCTCAGCCCTGATAAAGGCCTGAACTTTGGGGCGAAACGTCGGCGAATGTAAAAATAAATAAAAAGAATTATTTTTTTTTTTGTTTACCATTTCAATTTGACTGAACACCCCAAGTATTCTTCTCTTCAATTATTCACTACAGTCAACCATAAACCCACAATTATCTCTCTATTTATATTTCCTTACTCAGTCTGCCGGTGTTCCTCAAGGTAATATCCTAGGTCCTATTCTTTCTACAGTCCAACACTGTCATCACCACCTATGCCGATGACACGAGTATCCTTTCAGTTAATAACGATCCATCTATTGCATCCTAAACTCTTCAATCACACATCACAAGTCTTGAAAAATGGTGTCAGACTGGAGGATTAAAATAAATTCCAATAAATCCCATCAAATTACCTTCACTCTTCGCCGTAAACCTATGACTTCCTGTCCTACAGTATCCTTCAATAATAGCCCTCTTATCTCTATCGAACAAATCCGATACCTTGACAAACGACTCACTTGGAACCCCCTTACCACACTGAAACGACTAGAAACCGCCCGACGTTTTCGACTACTGCAGCACTTACTAGACAAACGCTCTAAGCTTTCAATCAATTACAAACGACTCATATACATGACTATAATAAGGCCTATTTGGACTTACGGAATTGAGCTTTGTGGCTCCACTAAACCATCAAATTCCTCTCGTATCCAATCCTTACAATTCAAAATCCTTCGTAAAATCCTCAATGCTCCTTACTTTGACACAAATAAAATCATCCATAAATACCTTAATGTTCCATATGTTTCCGATTTGGCCCAATCCAGATACCTATCCTTTATAACAAACTGCAGAACCATCCGAATCCTCTCGTTTCAGATCTTGCTTCCTCCTCGATCCCTGATAACTCTCCGAGGCGTCTGAAAAGAAGATGGCCTCGGGAACTTCTAATATAGAACTTTAATTTGAGTTCTACCAACGGGTAGTTTCTCTTCATGTTGTACATGTCATGTTACCAATGTCACATTTACTTATTGTATTTTCCATGTAATACAGTTGAAAATTTCAATATAATTAAAAAAAAAATGTATATTTCCTTTACTACCTCAAATAAATCAACGATATACTATACTAAGCACATGAATCGTAAATGAAAACAATTTAAAACGGCTAGATTAAGAACAATATATTATAAACATTTGTAAATTAATAAATTCTAAAGGTTACTATCATTCCACAATAATAAGCTATCGATAGATTCCTCAGATGTTACAAGTTAATCCTTATAACTATTTTCATTATCGAAGAGGCATTGAAAGCTCTCGGCGTATTTTCTGTGGCGATCGTAATTGTTGTGACTCGTACGTTGGGGATTCTAATGCGGTGTATTCAGACGCCCGGTTCGCCGGCCAATAGCAATTTCAAAGGCTTGTTTTATGTAAATGTGGCTATTTCCCTCTCAAAGAATCTATAATTTATTCCGCTTTTATCTATTTTCTAAAATAGCGTAACATAGCCGGCTCCTTCTGTAGCTATAATATTATTCATATACATAGTCTATGCATTTAAACAACTATACAACTCAAAAAAAAAAAAAAACTTTAACTCTAAGTCTTAAGCTAAATATTAAGACATTCAAAACATTTGGTAACATACCGGTATAATGTGTTCTAAGCTTTAATTACAATTTAACTCATATTTTTCTATTTTTAGCAAAATTGGTTAAAAAACGAAGTTCAGACAAACTTTTCGATTTTGAAAGTCCTTAGATATAAAGAGAATTTTTATTTGTATCTCCAGTAATGTCCAGGTTGTTTTGAAGAGTGGTGGATGCACGAACAGGATTGTTATCGGAGCTGACGACTTCGGTATCTTTAGCAAAAGTAGCGAGTAGATTATGATTTTGTTGCGGTAGATCTGACATATATATATTAAAAAATATTGGTCTAAGGTCAGTACCCTGAGGTACTCCTGCTTTAATTGGTTCAATGTCAGAACGTTCTGTCATTATTTTTACTTCAAAATGCATGTCTGTTAAATATCAAAGTAATAGTAAATAATGATATTACATTTAATAATAATATTAATTCCAAAAAGTAATATTTCAAAATTAATTTAGATCTTGAAAAATAAACGGTTCTTAAACTAACACTTCTACCTCAGGTATTTGAGGAAGTAATAGCCCTGCTAAATAATATATTTATTAATGAACTATAATATTTCGTGAAAGGCTTTAGATCTTAGCAAGACGTAAAGGACAGGACCTGAAAGAGGCCGAGGGACTGAAATTGCCCCTCAGCTAAAATACAGCCTCACCTTTCCCCTTCTCGGCTCCTAATATTAATACGGCAATTTATATCTCCAAATAGCATAAGAAATGTGAGTTATATCCGCACAATTCGCGAGATTAACCTCAGGTAATCTGTAGCAATTACAGGAGAGCTTTCCCACCGTTGGATTATGTATCGATATTTTATTAGTTATATATAATGTATTATATATGTGTATATTACAATAAATAAAAATTAAAAGAAATTAAAATTGATATATACTTAGGTATTTACTGGGGATCTTCCAAACTTTTTGGTCTGCAGACATACAATAAGTCCAGCGATCCTTGGATTGTGATGATTATAGTATCGATATGTCATGTAAAAAAAAAAAAGTTAAACAGCCAAAAAACAACAACTAAATATATATATATATATATATATATATATATATATATATATATATATATATATATATATATATACCTATTGAGATAACTACTTAAGAAGCTGTTGTTGCATTTCTGGTAGGTAACATCCGATGAAAAGTAATTTTAATAAGCATCAGAAATGCGTTGTATAAGTAATTATATCTAGGATATGCACCTGTATATTACTGATATAAACATGGCGAACACTGATATAGTTTATAATTTTTACAAAATGGAGACCTCAAATAAACCACCTAATTGACATAATGTGAACCCTTATCTCTGGTCTAAATACGTGAAGTATTGCTAAATATATTTAAAGTATAAAAACATAGCAAATAATATTTTAAATTTATTGTTGTATATAGGTATGCATGTGTTTTTTTGCATAGTTTTAATTTTCTTATTTTTAGGTTATTTTATTTTATTATTTATTTATTTATATACTTTTGATTATTATTTTGCTTCTATTTATTTTATATTTTTTGTACATATAGTGTGAATGTCATCCTGCCTCACTATAATCAATGTCCAAGAGACAGATTGTTGTACATATTCAATAAATAAATAAAATATTGTGAGTTGCTGAAAAAAAAAAGTTGAAAGAAACCGTCTGCCGACATCAAAAAGACACCGTGTGCACGTTACCTGGGAATCTTTGTGCAAGTTAGCTATTTAATCCCTTTTAGGGTGTGGCCACTTAAAATAATTTTTACACCGTTCGAAGTTGAGGACCAATTATCCTTGCTCCACCCTGAATATTAGTATAAAATCTCGTGGATCAAAAAGCTCTTGGTATTATGTCTTTTTCCAGCCTTGGTGACTGAAGAGGCAGCCTG